TAAATTTGAATTTACATTCTTATTAAGCCTTTTTAAAGCACACTGGCCCAGTACCTCAGCTTTCAAGGCAGCAAGTTTTTCAGCATGTGAATCCATATGTCAAAAAGACTGAATTAAGACATTAACACAGCAGTTACACATATGATAGTGAAAGAGAATTCCAAGAGCAGGACTTGAGAACAGAAACTAATTTAATTTAGAAATTTCATCCAATAACTGAGGAGTTATGCTTTGAAAATAAATTTAGAAAGGGTAAATGAACTAATACCACTTTTGGATTCCTACATATTTACAATGGGATAATATATGAGAAGGCACTGTGAACTATAGCAAATCTTGTTATTCTTAGTATTCTGACATTCTGAAAAACTTGCAGTTACTATCAAACAGAAAATATAAAGTCATTATTTCTTGTTTCCTTTCTACTCCTATTTAATGAACAATTAAAGGGCCAAAATACAACAGTCAAAAGCACTAAATAAATAGGCAAAAAGTTAAGGGCTTGTTTCAGGAGGAAGCAGGAAGGGAAAGATTTATGCTTTATCTTAAACTTGAATTTTCCATTAACTTCCTTTTTATCATCACATTTAAGGAAAAAGGGGAAAACAAAATTCTAGATATTCTAGATTTTTCTAATAGTTTAAATTTTGATGAATTTTAAGAAAACCACATACTCTTATCAGCTGATTTTTTCAACAATCAAATACAAAGCCTAAAATACAACAGCATATACAGGTTTTACACACCCACACATGTATATAATTAAATGGTCAGGTGTGAGGTTTCCAAGCCTCTTGGAGAATTATCATTTAAAAAAACAAAATCACTCATGTGAAAAATAAAATTATGGTACATTTGGTTTATCCTCAAAGGAAACAGTACACTATTTCACAGAGTATAATAGTAAAGCCTGTACATTATATATTTCACGTTTTTGGTGAAAATTAAACAATTCCAATTATTTTCCTAACTTAAAAAGTTTATATAGGATGTATATATATACACAAACACGTGTGTATATTTAAATTTTAATTTTGTATAGAGGTATTTAGGAAGTATCAAATGCTACCATTGATAAACTTACGAATCAACATGCAGAACCCTCTGGCCACTTCTTGAACATGCAGCCGCAATGATGGATTCAGGCAAACCTATAAAAACATACACCTATATCATTTAGAATGTAGAAATATATATATATATATATATATAAAAAACACAAAAAATATTCATGCCGTCGCTGTATAGAAGAGTTTAACAAAAGAGGCTCATTCTTGTATTCAAAATTATAGTTTGTATTATTATGCCGTTGAATGATGTTTCTTAAACATATACTACTAATACTGAAAATTTTATCATGTGGAAGAGAGGTTTTTAAAAATCAAGTACTTAAACTCTTTTTATCTACCAATTACCATAAATGAGCAACTGTCAAAATATTGTTCATATAGTACTTTGTTATTTAGAAACTATGTTCAGGAGGGTGGAAGGGAGGGAGGGAGACGCAAGAGGGAAGAGATATGGGAACATATGTATATGTATAACTGATTCACTTTGTTATAAAGCAGAAACTAACACACCATTGTAAAGCAATTATACCCCAATAAAGATGTTAAAAAAAAAAAAAAAGAAACTATGTTCACACACTAGCTCATCTGATTCTCCCAAATGCACTGAGAGAGAAGGATCTGCATACACATTTTAGAGATGAAGAAGAAACTAGAGTGCAAATTGGTTAACTTGCTGCCCAATGCTTTACAAAAAAAAAAGTTCTAGAGTTGAAATTTTAACCCAAATCTTAACTCCAAGCCACAGTGCCTCTTTGGGGGAATGGCATACATTTTTCAGTTTAAGCAATAGCTTAACTAATTTAAAAAGAGGCCATTTACATGATATATTATTTTACTTCTGGTTAATACAGCAGTTTGATAAGAATATTACTGTTTGGGAATTAAATTAAGCCACACCATAAAGTTTGTTATCATAAAAGGAAATATATATATTACTACTACCAGTACCAAAAAAATTTACTAAATATAACAATTTTATAATAAAAAATTCAGATGTTCAGCTACATCAACTAGTTAATACTCTATGTTGTAAATTTAAGACTCTTCCATAACTTTTTATCATAAGAGCTACCATTTCAACAGAGGCTATTAAATCTTTTATATCAGTCCGATGAACAAAGCATGTTTTGAAAGTTTAGTGCTGCTACTGTTTCACTACAATGAGATACCACGGACCTCTTGGAATTTTACCTAGTAGAAAAGAAATAGCATTCTTTTGGCAAGGGTTTAAACTACACACTAAGCATCAAGGATTTCAAGAAAAGAGAATGATTATCTTCTTTATGTAAAAAGCAATATGCATATGGAAGCAACTTATGTAGTCAATCTGTAGTTAAAACCACATTAAACAAAAGATTCAGCTGCATTCATGGAAGAACTAGAGTTTTCTAGTGGTGAACGCTTTGTGGGTATAAAATGTTTGGTTCAAAAAAGAAGTTCTGACCAAATGTACTGAATATAGCCATTAAATATCAATTATTGGAAATAAGCCATCATAAAGTTGCAACCTTAACTTTGGATATAATACACAGGAAAAAATTTTGTGGTGTAGGAGGAAATAGAAGGAAGAAAGGAAAATTCTAAATAGTTAAGCATACTTAGTTCTTCAAACGGTTAAAACTGTATTGTTCTAATGTCTTTTGTCTTAAGACTAACTGAATTTTTATATCTAAAAAATAACTTTCCTTATTAATGAAATTCAGTCACTATGGTACTGTAAAAGCTGCTAAGTGGCTTAAAAAGGACAATAGCAAAGAAATATTCAGGAAGCAGGATTAGTAGTATGTTTATGTGTGTAATAATGACAGCATTAATAATACATCACCAAACATCAGTACAGGGCTTTATGATTCACAATGCATTTTCATACACATCATCTCATTTATTCCTCATTATAACTCTGGGAAGCAGGCAGTATTATCCATGCGAAAAAAATGGGATGAGAAATGTTAAATAACTTGCCAAAGATCAAGTAATTCAGTAATTCAGCATCACAAATTCAAATTACCATGGTAAATTCACTCTCTCCAACTTGGACAAGAGTCTGAGAATGAGGATGTAAGGGCAGGATAGCAACGTAATGAAATGGGCATGGTCCCAGTCAGACAGAGCTAAGTTTGAATCTTAGTTTTGCTGCTTAACTAGCTATGAGATCTCAGGCAAGTCACTTGACTTCTCTTAGCTTTTGTTTCTTCATCCATCAATGGGAATACCACCATCTACCTCATAGGGTTGTTCAGTTGTTAGCAGAGGGTACTTGCTCTATAAAGAATACCTACTTTTATTTTCTTCAGAAAGATATTTTAGAAGCACTACATTTTCACCTAAATACTACTCCAAACATACACCCATTTTTACCAGATGCCAACTCCAATGGCAAACAATAATAAAATTACCCTCCTCTACTTGGATCAAATTAGCTGTTACTTTGGATAGGCAAATAGGCATGTGGTTATTCCCACGGTTGCGATCAACACAGTCAGGAGTCATGTCTCTGCTGACAAGGCAAAACCAAGGATAGATTTCAATACTGAACATGATTTAAGTTCAAATTACATAAAACCAAAATGATTATCATTTGTGTTTTCCCTTAATATTTCCATCCAGACATCCCCTCAAGTTCGTGAAACTGATAGGCTATTTCTGTGTTAAATGGTAAGGGCCTATTATCTTCATGCTTTTTTTTTTAACTGTGAATAAATTTTAGTAAATGTAGAGTCATGCAACTACCACAACAATCACGTTTTAGAACACTTCCATCACCACCAAATTTTCCTCAAGCCCCTTTGTAATTAATCTTCATCCCTTCCTCATGCCCCAGGAAACCAGATTTGCCTTTTCTAGAATTTCATGTAAATGGAATCATACAGAACAGTATATATAATTTTTTCTTGATTTTTTTACTTAATATGATAATTTTGAGATTCATCCATGTTGTTGTACCAGCACTCCATTTTTTCTAGTTGTTACTAATCCATTGTATATCATCATTTTCTTTTTTTATCTGTACATCAGTTGATGGGCATTTCGATTGTTTCCAGTTTGGGACTATCATGAAATAATGATACTATGAACATTCCTGTATAAGTCTTCCAGTGGACATATGTTTTCATTTCTCTCAGATAAATACCTAAGAGTGGAATTGCTGGGTCATATGGTAAGTGTATTTTAACATTTTAAGAAACTTCATTTTTTGAAATGGCTATATAGTTTTGCATTCCCACCAGCACTGTATGAGATTTCCAGTTGCTCCACACTGTCACCAATTCTTCTTATTTTTAGTCTTTTAAATCTTACCAACTCTAGTGTGGGTATAGTGGCACCTCATTGTGGTTTTAAGTTGCATTTCGCTGAGAATCTTTTCATGTGCTTTTTGACCATCCATATAGTTTCCTTTGTGTGGTATCTATTCAAGTATTTTTCTCATTTTATTATTGGATTGCTTTATAATTGAGTTGTAAGAGAATTTTATATTGTCTGGATACAAGTCCTTTTTCAAATATATGCCTTACAGGTATTTTCTCTTTATCAATGGCTTACCTTTTCATTTCCTGTGTTTTTGATAAGCTAATGTTTTAATCTTTATGAAGTCCAACTTACTATTTTTTCTTTTATGATTCATGCTTTTTGTATTCTATGTAAGAAACTTTTACTTGATTCAAAGTCACAAAGATTTTCTCCTAAATTCTTCTAGAAGATTTACGGTGCTAGCTCTTAGATTTAGGCCAATGATCTGGGGTTTTTTTTGTTTGTTTTATGTTATTATTGGGGTATAGTTGTTTTACAATGTTGTGTTAGTTTCTACTGTACAGCGAAGTGGAATTCCCTGTGCTATACAGCAGGTTCTCATTAGTTATCTATTTTATACATATTAGTGTATATAGGTCAATCCCAATCTCCCACTTCATCCCACCCCCACCCTTTCCCCCTTTGGTGTCCATATGGCAATGATCTGTTTTGACTTAAATATTGTGTATGTCATGAGGAAAAGGTTTAGGTACCTCTCTTAATGTCGATATCCAATTATTCCAGCATGATTTATTGAAGACTATTTCCTACCTTGGTAACTTCATCAAAACTCAATTGACCATGTCAGTGTGGGTCTGTTTCTGGACTCTCTGTTGCATTAATCCATGTGTCTATCCTTATGCCACTACCACACTGTCTTGATTATTGTACATTTTACGGTTAAGTCCTAAAATCAGGTAGAATAAGTCCTCTAACTTCATCCTTTTTAAATATTGTCTTGGCCATTCTAGATCCTTTGAAGTGCTGCATTTTCAATACGCTTTAATGTTATATAATGCTACACAGTTTTATAGACAAAGAAGCCACAGACACATAGAGGTCTGGACAATTTGTCTGACTTTACAAGGTTGGGCTCCCTGTCTCTTTGTGGCCACAACTCACTTTCCTACTGGAATGTCAGCTTCATAAGAGCAGGGACTGTGTATATTTTATTCACCACTGAATCCCCAGTAAAGCAGCGCTTGTGGTAGGTTTTCAACAAATATGTGTTGAACAGAAGATATCTTCATGCTTAGAATGATTAGAGCGACAGACTAATAATACAGTTAATAATGTCTTCCTGGCCAGGATTTCATATTTCTTCCCATCCATTCAATAAACACCGAGTTCCTTGAACAGAGGAGGCACATAGTAGATTCTCTATAAATACCTGTTTAAGGAAAGAAAAGAAGAAATACATACAATAATGGGGAAAGGGAAGAGAGAGAGAGGGATAGAACAGACTGTGATAGGTAGTGAGGGGAAAAAAAAGATAAAGGCAATGCCTAGCCTAAAAGAGCTCAGAGTCTAAAGAATAAGAATTTAAAGGGACTGAAATAATAAAGGTAATTAAGACTGTTAGAGGAACACAAAGGAAAGAAGCATTCCCTCTGTAGAGGTGAGTCATGGAAAGCTCCAAGGAGCAGGGGACACTAACCAGCTGGGTCTTTCAGATCTGTAATAACACAACTGAAAAGTGTAGAAGAAAAAAGCTGAAGGAAAAGGGAAAGTGGAAGGGAATATTCTTGGCAAAGGGTGAAGGAAGAGAGTACCAAAAAGTGATGGCCCAAAGAGTGGTTGGAGCCAAACTGTGGAGTCTGAACTTGAACCTGTAAGCAACAGGGAGTCTAAGATTTTAGCCATAAGAACAAGATCTAATCAGTGTTTCAGAAAAATAACTCTAGGCACAGCACGAAGGATGACTTTGCATAAAACTGGAGCTTTAGGTTTCATTTTTTTTTTAATTCTTATTTAGGAAAAGTTAACATAATTAAACTTTTTGGTCTTACTTATAATTTAGCAAAATAAGTAAAACAACTAACTGCTTGTTTTGTTTAAATTAATATTTATAAGCTCAATTTTAATAGCTTTTAAACCCTTGACTAATTTCAAAATAAAGCCTTTTTTTTTTTTAACACTTGGCACCATAAAAAGTGAACTACTTAGCTTCTGAATCATTACTCAAATTCACACAACATCCTTGTGAGGCATTTATATGGAACATATATAGGCTTATTACAATGAATTATACAGTCTCTCCCACAAGGGAAAGCCAGACATGAGTTAGAAACAAATAATCAGGGTTAAGTCACACAGCATTACACTGGAAACACACTGTAAAAAATCTGAGTACAAATATACAAGTACAATGTTTTCAACTGTAATATAGGGCTAATAATATATCTCATAGGGATATATGGAAGAATAGGTTAAAAAATGATATAAAACACCTTACACAGTGTCTCCTAGCATGTCGCTGACATTCAATAAATATTGGTTCTCTTCCCTTCTCTTCCTACCCCTTCAATAACAAATCTGAAGTTACCTGAAGTTATACTTAAGCTATATGAAGGGAAAAAAACTACCATTTGTTTACTATTGACTTAAGTTATCCTCAAAGATCTAACAACTTAAAATAGTTTCTTGAAAAGAAAGTCCAATAGCCTTTTCTATACGTACACTATAGGGCTTTTCCAGATGTATGCTACAGAAGTTCATCAAATACTTAATATCATTTAAACATTTCACATCATTAAATATGATCATTAAATTCATTAGTGAGGCTGTTTCAAAGAACTCTGCCAAAGGATTGTAGGAAAAATGTATAAATCTGATGCAAGATCATCAACTTTACCGGCAAGTCATTTTTATCAAACACAGGTAAATACTAGGTATTATATTAGCATTTCATAACAGCTTGTAACAGGGGAAACTGAGGTTTGTTACATTACGTCCCTCTAAGTTGAGGTTCTGTTATAAAGTTGGCAACTAGAAAAAATATATTAGAAGCTTATAGAATGTTATATGATCATATAACAAACACATAGTCCCAGCTCTATGATTTTCCAAAACCTGTCTAGATAAAAAGATGTTTCACTATCAAACGAAGCTAAGCTAAAATCAAGCCCAAAAAGGTATGAAATTAGCATTTTCAAGAATCTTATCTAAAATATTTTATAGGAATGAAACCATTATTTATTCATTTTTCAAAATCCCCTTTTAATCCAAATCCTTAATGTTGAACCTCATCACTTACAACTACAATATTTAGGTTAGCACTCTATGATCTATTCTTAAAATTGTATTAGTATCTGGAATTGATTTTTCCTAACACTATACTTACATAAGATAAGCATTAAATACTTACACCACTCCCAGCATATCAAACAATATATAACAGATTCCCCTGACAGGACTTTGATGACCTGGCAAAGCCTGAGTGCTTTCAGCCCAAATCATATGAAACCATAAATCACTCTTTATTTTATAGAACATTTCAAAATGGATTCCTGCTTTCTACCTTGAAAGTCATTTAATGTGTTATTTATAACTAGTGAAGACCAGAATGGAAAGAAAATTACATACAACTAGAAAATTTACTGCGACTTTTTATAAAGAATAACTTCTTTTTTTTAGGAATAAAGTAGAATTACTGGCAAGGAAAAACTTGTGAGTATAAGAAGCTTTTAGAGAGCCACATCCTTTACTATTTAAACAACCCTATGTACAGACCTTCTGTACCATCATAAACAAAGCATAAACAACATTAGGTACAGAACTGACTAGATTAAGCAATGCAAAGGTAAAACGACCCACTTAACTCATGTCACAGCTGCTCAAAGTGACATCACAAAATTAGACAGAAATTAAATTTCAACGCAGGTTTAAGTAGTTTTGTTCATTCCTATTAAATAATAAGTTAAAAGGTTTATATCTTATATTTACTTTTTAGTGGTTACCTTAAAAAGAAAAAAAACTGCCAGTGAAGTAGCTTAGGGAAACTCCAAGAAGTATAGATAAAAAGACTGTTTTTAAATTGACAATTATTGTAATTCAGTTTGACCCACACGAAATATCAAACATACTAATAAATTTAATATCTATGGACTTCTTCCTCATGGGAGAAAATACTGTTAATAATATCTATGTAGGGGAGCAGCTGCTGCAGCTTGCAGGTGTGGTGGGGGCCGGCCGAGCTGACCAAGCACAGACCCGGCGCGGCGGAGCTGTGGCCCTGGGGCAGTCCGCGCCGGGGACATGCGCTGATTCGATCCCTCCGGAGAAGTCTGACACCTACCGAGTAGTCTTTCAATTCCTACAAGAAATCAAGAAAAAGAAAGCATTTGTGGGGGGTGCTGAGAAGATGGCGAAAGAGTAAGAGGCGGAGATCACCTTCCTCCCCACAGATACACCAGAAATACATCTACACGTGGAACACCTCCTACAGAACACCTACTGAAGGCTGGCAGAAGACCTCAGACCTCCCAAAAGGCAAGAAACTCCCCACGTACCTGGGTAGGGCAAAAGAAAAAAAAAGAAAAAACAGAGACAAAAGAATAGGGACGGCACCTGCACCAGTGGGAGGGAGCTGCGAAGGAGGAAAGGTTTCTACACACTAGGAAGGCCCTCGCGGGCGGAGACTGCGGGAGGCGGAGGGGGGAGCTTCGGAGCCGCGGAGTAGAGCCAGCAGCAAGGGTGCGGAGGGCAAAGCGGGGAGATTCCCGCACAGAGGATTGGTGCCGACCGGTACTCACCAGCCCGAGAGGCTTGTCTGCTCACCCGCCAGGGCGGGCGGGGCAGCGAGCTGAGGCCTGGGCTTTGGTAGGAGCGCAGGGAGCGGACTGGGGTTGGCGGCTTGAACACAGCCTGAAGGGCTTAGTGCACCACGGCTAGCTGGGAGGGAGTCCGGGGGAAAAGTCTGCACCTGCCGAAGAGGCAAGAGACTATTTCTTCCCTCTTTGTTTCCTGGTGCACGAGGACAGGGGTTTAAGAGCAATGCTTAAAGGAACTCCAGAGACGGGCACGAGCCACGGCTAAAAGCGCGAACCCCAGAGACGGGCCCGAGCCGCGGCTAAAACCGCAGACCCCAGAGACGGGCGGGAGACGCTAAGGTTGCTGCTGCTGCCACCAAGGGGCCTGTGTGGGAGCACAGGTCACTATCCACACCCCTCTTCCGGGGAGCCTGTGCAGCCCGCCACTGCCAGGTTCCCGGGATCCAGAGACAACTTCCCCGGGAGAATGCACGGGAGAATGCACGGCGGGCCTCAGGCTGGTGCAACGTCATGCCGGCCTCTGCCGCCGCAGGCCCACCCCACACGCAGTGCCCCTCCCTCCCCTCCCCAAGCCTGAGTGCGCCAGAGCCCCCGAATCAGCTGCTCCTTTAACCCCGTCCTGTCTGAGCAAAAAACAGACGCCCTCCAGCGACCTACACGCAGAGGCAGGGCCAAATCCAAAGCTGAGCCCCTGTGAGCTGTGAGAACAAAGAAGAGAAAGGGAAATCTCTCCCAGCAGCCTCAGAAGCAGCGGATTAAAGCTCCACAATCAACTTGATGTACCCTGCATCTGTGGAATACATGAATAGACAACGAATCATCCCAAATTGAGCAAGATCTTCGAGAACAAGATCTATGATTTTTTCCCCTTTTCCTCTTTTTGTGAATGTGTATGTGTATGCTTCTGTGTGAGATCTTGTCTGTATAGCTTTGCTTCCACCATCTGTCCTAGGGTTCTATCCGTCCATTTTTTAAAATATTTTTTCCTAATAATTAATTTTAATTTTAATAACTTTATTATACTTTACATTTGTTCTTTATTCCTTCCTTCCGTCCTTCCTTCCCTCCTTTAGACAACAAATCATACCAAATTGAGGAGGTGGACTTTGAGAGCAAGATTTATGGTTTTTTCCCCTTTACCTTTGTGAGGGTGTATGTGTATGCTTCTCTGTAAGATTTTGTCTGTATAGCTTTGCTTCCACCATTTGTCCTAAGGTTCTATCCGTCCTGTTTTTTCCCTAAATAATTACTTTTTAATTCAATAACTTTATTATACTTTATTTTATTTTACTGTATCTTCTTTCTGTCTTTTTTCCTTCCTTCCCTCCTTCCTTACTTCCTTCCTCCCTCCCTCCTTTGTTTCCTTCTTGCCTTTTCTTTCTCTCTTTATTTCTTTTTCTTTCTTCCTTCCTTTCTTCCTTCCTTCCTTCCCTCCTTTCTTTCTTTCTTTCTACCTTCCTACTTCTACTAATTCTCTCTACTTTTTCTACCTTTTATTCTGAGCCGTGTGAATGAAAGACTCTTGGTGCTCCAGCCAGGAATCAGGGCTCTGCCTCTGAGGTGGGAGAGCCAACTTCAGGACACTGCTCAACAAGAGACCTCCCAGCTCCACAGAATACCAAACGGCGAAAATCTCCCAGAGATCTCCATCTCAACGCCAGCACCCAACTTCACTCAATGACCAGCAAGCTAAAGTGCTGGACACCCTATGCCAAACAACTAGCAAAACAGGAACACAACCCCACCCATTAGCAGAGAGGGTGCCTAAAATCATAATAAGGCCACAGACACCCCAAAACACACCACCAGACGTGGACATGCCCACCAGAGAGACGAGATCCAGCCTCACCCACCACAACACAGGCACTAGTCCCCTCCACCAGGAAGCCTACACAACCCACTGAACCAACCTTAGCCACTGCAGACAGACATCAAAAACAGTGGAAACTATGAACCTGCAGCCTCCAAAAAGGAGACTCCAAACACAGTAAGATAAGCAAAATGAGAAGACAGAAAAACACACAGCCGATGAATGAGCAAGATAAAAACCCACCAGACCTAACAAATGAAGAGGAAATAGGCAGTCTACCTGAAAAGGAATTCAGAATAATGATAGTAAAGATGATCCAAAATTTTGCAAATAGACAAAATGCAAGAAACATTTAACAAGGACCTAGAAGAAATAAAGATGAAACAAGCAACGACAAACAACACAATAAATGAAATTAAAAATACTCTAGATGGGATCAATAGCAGAATAACTGAGGCAGAAGAACGGATAAGTGACCTGGAAGATAAAATAGTGGCAATAACTACTGCAGAGCAGATAGAGAAAAAAGAATGAAAAGAACTGAGGACAGTCACAGAGACCTCTGGGAAAACATTAAATGCACCAACATTAGAATTATAGGGGTTCCAGAAGAAGAAGAGAAAAAGAAAGGGACTGAGAAAATATTTGAAGAGATTATAGTTGAAAACTTTCCTAATATGGAGAAGGAAATAGTTAATCAAGTCCAGGAAGCACAGAGAGTCCCATACAGGATAAATCCAAGGAGAAATACACCAAGACACATATTAATCAAACTGTCAAAAATTAAATACAAAGAAAACATATTAAAAGCAGCAAGGGAAAAACAACAAATAACACACAAGGGAATCCCCGTAAGGTTAAAAGCTGATTTTTCAGCAGAAACTCTGCAAGCCAGAAGGGAGTGGCAGGACATACTGAAAGTGATGAAGGAGAAAAACCTGCAACCAAGACTACTCTACCCAGCAAGGATCTCATTCAGATTTGATGGAGAAATTAAAACCTTTACAGACAAGCAAAAGCTGAGAGAGTTCAGCACCACCAAACAAGCTTTACAACAAATGCTAAAGGAACTTCTCTAGACAAGAAACACAAGAGAAGGAAAAGACCTATAATAACGAACCAAAAGCAATTTAGAAAATGGGAATAGGAACATACATATCGATAATTACTTTAAATGTAAATGGACTAAATGCTCCCACCAAAAGACACAGACTGGCTGAATGGATACAAAAACAAGACCCATATATATGCTGGCTAAAAGAGACCCATTTAAGACCTAGAGACACAACCAGACTGAAAGTAAGGGGATAGAAAAAGATATTCCATGCAAATGGAAATTTAAAGAAAGCTGGAGTAGCAATTCTCATATCAGACAAAATAGACTTTAAAATAAGGACTATTAGAAGAGACAAAGAAGGGCACTACATAATGATCAAGGGATCGATCCAAGAAGAAGATATAACAATTGTAAATATTTATGCACCCAACATAGGAGCACCTCAATACATAAGGCAAATACTAACAGCCATAAAAGGGGAAATCGACAGGAACACATTCATAGTAGGGGACTTTAACGCCCCACTTTCACCCATGGACAGATCATCCAAAATGAAAATAAATAAGGAAACACAAGCTTTAAATGATACATTAAACAAGATGGACTTAATTGATATTTATAGGACACTCCGTCCAAAAACAACAGAATACACATTTTTCTCAAGTGCTCATGGAACATCCTCCAGGATAGATCATATCTTGGGTCACAAATCAAGCCTTGGTAAATTTAAGACAATTGAAATTGTATCAAGTATCTTTTCCGACCACAACGCCATGAGACTAGATATCACTTACAGGAAAAGATCTGTAATATATACAAACACATGGAGGCTAAACAATACACTACTTAATAATGAAGTGATCACTGAAGAAATCAAAGAGGAAATAAAAAGATACCTAGAAACAAATGACAGTGGAGACATAACGACCAAAAACCTATGTGATGCAGCAAAAGCCGATCTAAGGGGGAAGTTTATAGCAATACAAGCCCACCTTAAGAAGCAGGAAACATCTCGAATAAACAACCTAACGTTGCACCTCAAGCAATTAGAGAAAGAAGATCAAAAAAACCCCAAAGCTAGCAGAAGGAAAGAAATCATAAAAATCAGATCAGAAATAAATGAAAAAGAAATGAAGGAAATGATAGCAAAGATCAATAAAACTAAAAGCTGGTTCTTTGAGAAGATAAACAAAATAGATACACCACTAGCCAGACTCATCAAGAAAAAAAGGGAGAAGACTCAAATCAATAGAATTAGAAATGAAAAAGGAGAAGTAACAACTGACACTGCAGAAATAAAAAAGATCATGAGAGATTACTACAAGCAACTCTATGTCAATAAAATGGACAACCTGGAGGAAATGGACAAATTCTCAGAAATGCACAACCTTCCAAGACTGAATCAGGAAGAAAGAGAAAATATGAACAGACCAATCACAAGCACTGAAATTGAAACTGTGATTAAAAATCTTCCAACAAACAAAAGCCCAGGACCAGATGGCTTCACAGGAGAATTCTATCAAACATTAAGAGAAGAGCTAACAGCTATCCTTCTCAAACTCTTCCAAAATATAGCAGAGGGAGGAACACTCCCAAATTCCTTCTACAAGGCCACCATCACCTTGATACCAAAACCAGACAAGGATGTCACAAAGAAAGAAAATTACAGGCCAATATCACTGATGAACATAGTTGCAAAAATCCTCAACAAAATACTAGCAAACAGAATCCAACAGCACACTAAAAGGATCATACTCCATGAGCAAGTGGGGTTTATTCCAGGAATGCAAGGATTCTTCAATATATGCAAATCAATCAATTTGATAAACCATATTAACAAATTGAAGGAGAAAAACCATATGATCATCTCAATAGATACAGAGAAAGCTTTTGAAAAAATTCAACACCCATTTATGATAAAACCCCTGCAGAAAGTAGGCATAGAGGGAACTTTCCTCAACATAATAAAGGCCATATATGACAAGCCCACAGCCAACATCATCCTCAATGGTGAAAAACTGAAAGCATTTCCACTAAGATCAGGAACAAGACAAGGTTGCCCACTCTCACCACTCTTATTCAACATACTTTTGGAAGTTTTAGCCACAGCAATCAGAGAGAAACGGAAATAAAAGGAATCCAAATCGGAAAAGAAGAAGTAAAGCTGTCACTGTTTGCAGATGACATGATCCTATTCATAGAGAATCCTAAAGATGCTACCAGAAAACTACTAGAGCTAATCAATGAATTTGGTGAAGTAGCAGGATACAAAATTAATGCACAGAAATCTCTGCCATTCCTATATACTAATGATGAAAAATCTGAAAGTGAAATCAAGAAAACACTCACATTTACCACTGCAACAAAAAGAATAAAATATCTAGGAATAAACCTACCTAAGGAGACAAAAGACCTGTATGCAGAAAATTATAAGACACTGATGAAAGAAATTAAAGATGATACAAATAGATGGAGAGATATACCGTATACTTGGATTGAAGAATCAACATTGTGAAAATGACTCTACTACCCAAAGCAATCTACAGATTCAATGCAATCCCTATCAAACTACCCCTGGCATTTTTCACAGAACTAGAACAAAAATTTTCACAATTTGTATGGAAACACAAAAGACTCCGAATAGCCAAAGCAATCTTGAGAACGAAAAATGCAGCTGGAGGAATCAGGCTCCCTGACTTCAGACTATACTAAAAACCTACAGTAATCAGGACAGTATGGTGCTGGCACAAAAACAGAAATATAGATGAATAGAACAGGATAGAATGCTCAGAGATAAACCCATGCACATAGGGTCACCTTATCTTTGATAAAGGAAGCAGGAATGTACAGTGGAGAAAGGACAGCCTCTTCAATAAGTGGTGCTGGGAACACTGGACAGGTACATGTAAAAGTATGAAATTAGAACACTCCCTAACACCATACACAAAAATAAGCCCAAAATGGATTAAAGACCTAAATGTAAGGCCAGAAACTATCAAACTCTTAGAGAAAAACATAGGCAGAACACTCTATGACATAAATCACAGCCAGATCCTTTTTGACCCACCTCCTAGAGAAATGGTAATAAAAACAAAAATAAACAAATGGGACCTAATGAAACTTCAAAGCTTTTCCACAGCAAAGGAAACCATAAACAAGACCAAAAGACAACCCTCAGAATGGGAGAAAATATTTGCAAATGAAGCAACTGACAATGGATTAATTTCCAAAATTTTCAAGCAGCTCATGCAGCTCAATAAGAAAAAAACAAAAAACCCAATCCAAAAATGGGCAGAAGACCTAAATAGACATTTCTCCAAAGAAGATATACAGATTGCCAACAAACACATGAAAGAATGCTCAACATCATTAATCATTAGAGAAATGCAAATCAAAACTACAATGAGATATCATCTCACACCAGTCAGAATGGCCATCATCAAAAAATTTAGAAGCAATAAATGCTGAAGAGGGTGTGGAGAAAAGGGAACACTCTTGCACTGCCGGTGGGAATGTGAATTGGTACAGCCACTATGGAGAAAAGTATGGAGGTTCCTTAAAGAACTACAAATAGAACTACCATACGACCCAGCAATCCCACTACTGGGCATATACCCTGAGAAAACCAAAATTCAAAAAGAGTCATGTACCAAAATGTTCATTGCAGCTCTATTTACAATAGCCCGGAGATGGAAACAACCTAAGTGTCCATCATCGGATGAATGGATAAAGAAGATGTGGCTCATATATACAATGGAATATTACTCAGCCATAAAAGGAAACAAAATTGAGTTATTTTAATGAGGTGCATAGACCTAGAGTCTGTCATACAGAGTGAAGTAAGTCAGAAAGAGAAAGACAAATACCGTATGCTAACACATATATATGGAATTATAGAAAAAAAATGTCATGAAGAACCTAGGGATAAGACAGGAATAAAGCCATAGACCTACTAGAGAACGGACTTGTGGATATGGGGAGGGAGAAGTGTGAGCTGTGAGAAAGCGAGAGAGAGGCATGGGCATATATACACTACCTAACGTAAGGTAGATAGCTAGTGGGAAGCAGCTGCATAGCACAGGGAGATCAGGTCGGTGCTTTGTGCCCGCCTGGAGGGGTGGGACAGGGAGGGTGGGAGGGAGGGAGACACAAGTGGGAAGAGATATGGGAATATATGTATAATTGATTCACTTTGTTATAAGGCGGAAGCTAACACACCATTGTAAAGCAATTATACCCAAATAAAGATGTTAGAAAAAAAAAGAGTTATGTACCAAAATATTCATTGCAGCCCTATTTACAGTAGCCAGGAGATGGAAACACCTTAAGTGTCCATCATCGGATGAATGGATAAAGAAGATGTGGCACATATATACAATGGAATATTACTCAGCCATAAAAAGAAACGAAATTGAGTTATTTGTAATAACGTGGATGGACCTAGAGTCTGTCATATAGAGTGAAGTAAGTCAGAAAGAGAAAGACAAATACCTTATGCTAACACATACATATGGAATTTAAGGAAAAAAATGTCATGAATAACCTAGGGTTAAGACAGGAATGAATCCACAGACCTACTAAAGAATGGACTTGAGGATATGGGGATGGGGAAGGGTAAGCCATGACAAAGTAAGGGAGTGGCAATGGACATCCATACACTACCAAATGTAAAATAGATAGCTAACGGGAAGCAGGCGCAAAGCACAGTGAGATCAGCTCGGTGCTTTGTTACCACCTAGAGGAGTGGGATATGGAGGGTGGGAGGGAGGGAGACGCAAGAGGGAAGAGATATGGGAACATATGTATATGTATAACTGATTCACTTTGGTATGAAGCAGAAACTAACACACCATTGTAAAGCAATGGGATAAAACAGTACTGGGATACTACTAAACAGTACTGGGATGCTACATGGGATAAAACAGTCCTGGAATGGAGAGAAAGGTGAGAATTATTGACTGAAAAAGTTGCAGAATGACGTGTACCTAACGATCTTATTTTGTCGTGAATGTGTGTTTATGACATTATACATTTCCTGAGGGAGGCAGGGGCCTTGAAAAGCTGAAAACCAAAGGGCAAATAAATACAATTATTTTGGTGAATATGCATAACCTACTGAAGTTGAAGATTTGCAAGCCTAGAATACTATATAATAGCAGTGTGTGAGTGTGAGTGTGTGTGTGTGTGTGTGTGTGTGTGTATGTGGGAGTATGTGGGGGTATTACAGCTATATGTATCTGTACAGATGAATCTCACAAGCATAACACTGACCAAGGAAAGCAAGTCACAGAAAGAATACATAGAGTAGAATTCCAAAAGTTAGACAAGTGTCAAAAACAGGAAAAACTAACAACATATGGTTTGGTGATATACACGTGATAAAAAACACTTTAAAAAAACAAGAGGACAATTAAAGCAGTTTACCATAATGGTTACAGCTGTGGGAAAGGAAGGGGAGATGGATGGTGGTGCACCCAGGGAGCTCCTAAGGTACTGGTAATATTCTGGTAGTGTTCTTTTTCTTTAGGTGGGTCATACATACGTGCCACTCACTTTGTTATTGTTCACTGAAAGAAAGAAATTAAAAATATGTATACATACACACACATATATTTCATTTGTATGTATGATATTCTGTAATAAAAAATATCCTAGGCCACACTGTAAAACTGCCTACTCCATCAGTCCACCAGAATCCTTTGAGACATCGGGGCTCTTCGACATACAACATTATTTCCAAACTTTACTATGATAAGCCGCTTTAAAATAGATGTTGTCACCCTTGTAGCTTTTTACCTCTATTGAATGATTTTTCTCACAATAAATTCTCAGATCTGGAGTTACTGAGTCTAAGGGAATGAACATATTGACAATTCTTGGTACGAACTGTTACTCTGCCAAAGTGTTGTCCCAATTTATAATACCATCAGCATTTCAACTGAATACAACTTCATCAACAATTAGTGACTACTCCCTTAATTTAGTGTTTTTAATTATCAGGTTATTTTGCATTTGACTATTAATCAGAAAAAAATATTTTCCCTGAAGTTTGTTGACTATTTGTAACCTCTCTTGTCTGTTTACACTCTCTGCCCATTTACCTGTAGAGATCTTGACATTTTTCATATAAATTTGAAGGTATTATTTTTATGTAATTAGTTCTTTGTTATGAGTTGCAAATACTCCTACTCTGTTTTCCTTTTTCTTTTAGTTTGCTATTTTTCAGAGTAGATGCTATAATTTTTTATATATTCAAATATTGCCTTGTGTTTCTTGAGATTTCAAAGAGGGAAAGTTATCATTTCTCTACAGATCAGATGACCCAGTCTATTCCCACTTTATAGTTCCGACTACACTCAAAGAGACACCCAGATTACTGGCAGAAAGTCCAAAATCTGATCATATAATAGAAAAAAAATAAAGGAAGTATTTCAATTCAGTGGAGAAAGAATAGATCGATGGTGTTAGAATAACCAGCTAATGATTTAGAAGGAAAATACCCTCATAATCTACAACAAAGTAAATTTAAGGTGAATTAAAATTTAAATGTAAAAAATAAAATGTTAAAAAAGAAACTAAGCATCAATATTTACTTAATCTTGGAGGGGAAGGCTTTCTATGCATATCTCCAAAGGCAGTAACCATAAAAGAAAAAAACATTTGATAGATTTCACTACGTGAAAATTATAAAGTTTCATACATGAGAAACCACCATAAAAATAGAAGGCAAATTTACAAAATACATGATAAAGATTTAAAGTCTTTAGTATATAAAGAATTATTACATGTTGAAAAGAAAAAAATGGCACAATAGAAACATGGGTAAGGGCAATTTCCAAAAGAAACATAATTGACCAATATACCTATTAAATAGTCAACCTCACTTATGATCTGAAAATGTAAATGCAAACAAGGAAATATTTTTTTTGGCTATGATGTTGATAGTAATTAAGAATAAGACATTCATAGACAATGTTGAAAGACTATGGGAAAATAAGCATTCTCATACTCCGCTGGTGAGATTAGACTGGCAAACTTTCCTTAAGGCAATTCATCAATACAAATCAAAAGCTTTACGTAACCACCTCTATAATTCAATTTAACAGTTACAGTTCTAGGTATTTATCCTAAGGAAATAATTAAATACGTACAAAAGATTTAGGCACACCATGTTCATCACAGCCTTAGTTTATGAAAGTGAAAAACTGAAAACCTTAAATGTCCAACAAAAGTTGCTAATTTAAATAAATGACAGGACATTTATAGAAAATAATATTTACTAAGCATCTACTTAATATGACATTTAATAAACTTTTGGAAATGACATAATCGTAAAGATGAAGAACAGATTAGGGGTTGCCAGGGTTTAGGGATGTAGGTAGGAGGGAGGTGTCCATGGCTATAAAAAGGTATCATGAGAGAGTATGATGAAACTGTTTTGTATCTGGATGTGACACCAATCTTCATGTGATAAAACTGTACAGAACTAAACACACACAAGTACATGTAAAACTGGTGACATCTGAATAAGGTCACTGGGTAAGGTCAATTACCTGGTTATGCTACATGTAGTTATGCAAGATCTTACTTACCACTGGGGGAAGCTGGGTGAACATATACAGGATCTTCCTATATTACTTCTTACAACTGCATGTGAGTCGAATTATCTCCAAATGAAAAGTTTTTTAAAAAGACACTGAGGAAGAAGATTTGATTAACATGGAATGATGTTCATAACATACTGTGAAGTGAAAAACAGAATAGCATACACACATCTATACACACAGGTCTGGAAGTATATTCCTAAAAGTGTTAGTTATTAATATTATTTGTTAATGACACGGCTCTTGGAGGGAAAAGATACCACATCTACTCTGTCAATTAAGATGCATCCATTGCAAGTGCTGACAATTGTTGACAATTATAGGAACCAAAAGAAGAGTCAATTAAAAAAAGAAAAGCTTCATAAACAGAACAATGAGTCTCATACTTGATCTTGAAAATTCAATTTATAAGTGCATAAAACTAAAAAACATTTTTTTAAAAAGACAAAATGGCAAACCCTCCCACATGCACAAATAGCCTATAGCTGACTTTTAACAATGGTTTTATTTCTGTGGGAAATTACGTATCTAGTAATCAGTGAATAATTCCTAGGGAAACAGATTATCACTTGAAATATGACTGTATTTTCTGATCCCATTTCTAGCCATTACTTTAGTGGCTGATTCTGTTTTTTCAGTTTTAAGGGATAAACACAACCAAGTCATTCAGTTCACCTTCATCAAAAGGTCTGCGAGTTGACAGATGTCATGATGCTGTCAATAATGAGTTAACACCACAAGGCTGTGCTGGAATCAGGATTTTAATGTCAACAATGGTAACTCCCCAAAATGAAGCAACTGTCAACTGCTAAGCTAGAACACAATAATCTAATCTTGAGAGTATAAGCTATTTTTTCACATGGAAGAATCCAACCAGCTAAATCTAATACCTAGCCAGAGTAACTCCAGTCTTAACAGTTTGACCTCGGTCAAACTTAACTAAGCCTTAGGTTCCACATTTGTAAAATGGAGATAACAATAAGCATCTAACACGACAAGGTTACTGTGAGAATCAGATGAGATAATGCATTTTAAGGGCTTAGCATTGGATTCAGCATAATAAATGCCAGAAATAATTTCATATATTTAACAGTGTGTTGTACATACTAAATTTAATTCTATGTCCTCTATTTGGCCTAGAAAGCTCATGCCAAAGTAACATAGAAAACTAAGGATTAGAACACAACTCAGCATCTTCCTAATATGCCTGCTATCTGTATGTAAAACCTTCTTTGTCTGTACTTTAGCTTGTGCAAACTTTTCCATAATTATTTTAAATGCATATACAGAAAAGCAGTTTAACCAATGTGCAAATTCAGATCACAGATACATGATCCAAAACAGTTGAAAGCAATACAAAATGACTAAAACTGCCATTAACCAAAAGCCATTGTAACTCAACATCAACACTAGGCTGGACAAAAAAGATATGTATGAACACTACTCAGGAGAAAAAGCAGATGTTGGTACTTTTGTAAATGTGATATAAACCAAATCAGTCAAGCGGTATGACATTACCCACTTAAACTCTTGGTAAAATCTAATATGAGATCAAACACTCAAGTGAAGCACTACCCTGGCGAAAAGCTGCCCCTGGTCTCTTCACCTATTTTCAAACTATTTTTTAAATAGTCCCATTATGATAACATGATAGCTCTCATAATCACACTTGGAGAAATCAGTATCTGTGATAAATTATCATCTTTTTACACTGCCCTTTAATAAGATTATTAGAAAAGCAAAAAAGAATAAATCAATCTTTCAAAGTATCCCTATTTTGTTGGTCACAACTAAATATCCCCAAAATGTTTCCAATCTCTCTAGCATATATACATAATACATACATGTGCATATATTGACATGTATGTGTATATATATGTAGTTTTGTAATATACATATTAATATAAACTGGGAACTGATGATTTTTAGACTATTTTACTTTTTAAACCATTTACATACATAGCAGGCACAGCCTAACTTTTCAGTGTAAAGACTGTAGTGAAACTGAATAGCAGATGATTTAGCATGAGTAACAGTTCAATTACATGGAATTATAATTGTTTCTGTGCACTGGGATTTTATGTGAAATATGAGAATGTGATGGTGAGCAGCCATGTTTGATTTTAATTGCTGTAGCTTGAGTTCTCCAAAACATCATGAGGATACTGGAGAAAATGAGAAAATGACGTGAGGCATGGGAGATGAAAATGATGCTGCGGAGAGAACTCTGGTAACAGATGCGCCTCTCTCTGAGGGACTGGCTCAAACTTATGATTTACAGGGAAGCATAAGCCTCTCCAGAGAGTCTTCTCCAGAGTTATATAATTCCCTTTACTTTTCGAGGTATTGAGCGCAGAAAAGGCATACTTTTCCATCAATAAATGCCTGAAGAATTGCAAAGCATTTTTCAGAACAGCAAAACCTGTAAGCTCTCTTTAGCTCCTTCAGCATTCTTACACTGACAAGGAAGAGTTTCACACTATGCCTCAAACAAGACAAATCTGTTCAAAACAAATGACAAATAATGCAAGCTGGTGAACAAAACAGAGTAAAAGAAGAAAAAAAAAAAAGGAAAGAAAACCGTCAGTTAAGAAGTCTGATAGAAATAGTGGTAACAGACACACAAAGGTCTTTCCCACCAAACGGCCAATGGGAAGAGGAGGAAGATGACTCAGACACCTGAATCTTTCCACTGCTCTCCATGAAAACTATGAGCCTTTCCTTGGAAGCATTCACGTAACAGTAGTGATGATAAAAGCACCTCAGTATGGTATTATGGGCTATAAAAATCAACTATGTTTTCTGAGCACTTACTAAGCATTTTACAGAATTATTCCATTGAATCCTCAACACAGCTCTGTGAGATTTATTCTCTTTTAGAGATGAGAAAATTGAAACTTAGACATTAAAGAACATGTGTGAGGTGGCACAAGCAGCATAGCTGATTCAAACACTGTCCCATTTCAGAGCCACCTTGTCAATCACTACACTATGCTCTCAAATGAGATACATACATGTCAAGGTAAATAAAACATATGGATGGTATAGCATTTGTAAAACCAAATGACTTTTGAAATATTATTTCATTCCTACTCACTACGTTATTCAGTTAATCAATATTCTCTAAACTTTAAAACATTTTGCCCCTAGCCACCCCCAAAATATATATGAATATATGTATGTGTGTGTGCTTCACAGTGATACACACATGAAATATATGTTTCATGAAACTATACTCATCCTGGGACTTCCCTGGTGGTCCAGTGGTAAAGAATCCATCTTCCAATGCAGGGGATGTGGGTTCAATCCCTGGTCGGGGAACTAAGTGGGCAACTAAGCCCGCACAGTGCAACTACTGAGCCCACGCACCTCAACTAGAAAGAGAAAACCTGCACGCCACAACTAGAGAGAAGCCCACGCACCACAACAAAGAGCACGCACACCACAACGAAGATCCTACGTGCCGCAACTAGGACCCAACACAGCCAAAAATAAAAATAAATAAATAAAATATTTTTTAAAATGTTGCATCCAAATAAAGAAAAAAAGTATACTCATCCTTACTACATGTAATATATTCTAATACATATTCTATTCTACTTCTGTTTTTTTTAATGCTGGAATTGATTTCATGACCCACAAATAGGTGGCATCTTGCAATTTAAAAAAAAAACAACTCTGTTCTAGACTACAGGTTCATGGATATTTGGAAATACAGGCAGAGAAAGTATGGACATCCTCCGATATTAGAACCACACACAGGCATCCTGGGAGAGGATTAAATAAGATACATATATAAGAAATCACTTGGCAGAGAGTCTGGCATAAACAGGTATTTAGTAAAAATCAGTTTCCACGATACCTCCTACAACATTACTATCCCCCAACGTTTAGAGAAGTGAAGTTACTCCACCACCATCATAAGCATTATAGTCAATAAGCTGCTGGCCAAAGTTAACCACCTTAAAGTTTCAATGCTCAACTAACATCAAGAAATGGAGCTGTGCTACCTACATGACCTTTCCTGATGAAAGCAGCTTATCATTTCCAAGAAAATTTTTTTTATGAACCATTTTGATAGAAAAATTTCTGAAGTATATCAAACACTGACTTGACTTCTTAAGAGGACTATACAGAATTGTCTTTTCTCAAGGACCCAGGGTCATAATTATGCACACACAATGGTAAATTTTAGAACTGGTAGATGCCTACCTTAGAGGTCACCTAATTCAAGTCTCTCACTTTACAGATGAACAAATTGATGTCCCAAGATGTTATGCAATTTTCCCAAAGTTACCCAGTAGGAAGGTTAAGTGATTCCCATTATGCCATGCTGCCACATCGATTTTGGACTATGCTGAGCATGATCTAGCAAGGTAGTCAGGATTTAGGAGCAATACCCCTTGTAATTTACCCCATATTTGTTATTTTTGTTATCTCACTTCTTTCCCCATAATCTTTAGCAATAAAACTCTTAAATCAAAATAGGGTCTATGTGTTTGTGCTCTGCAGGAAAAATGTTAAGCTAGTCTACTCCACAGACCATTTAGGGGAAGAATTCCAAAATATAATATGTGTGGTGTACCTTAGTAAGGAAAGGGATGCAGAATGAATATCTACGTGGCCTTCAGAAAGCAAGAAGGATGCACTGAAAAGGCCACATTGGCTTAGAACAGCTCTGAGCATGTGACAGTCAGGAACCCCAAACAGCTCCTCAGAATAGGCAACACAGTAAATGTCACAAGGGCAGGGACTAGGTTCTCAGTAAATGTGGGTTGAATATTCTAAAAAATGTGTAGTCTGTCACTACACTAAATGGTGCCAGGTCATTGTGCTGTCTGATGTAAGTTTGCATTTTAGGTGTTTGTCTCTCCCCTTTCCCATAAGGATATGAACTGTCACTTATGTCTAATGACACCTCCCGAACATGGCTTTTGCAGAAGTTGATAACGTTTCCTATATCTTCTAATAAGATGCTTCTAATACACTCTGAGCATGCTAGAATTTTCTAAAATAAGAAAGAATATGCTCTAAATAAGAGAATGAGGGATTCCTCTATGTAAGAAGCATGCCGATATTATCCCATAACTCTTGTAACTTCCATCTTGTCTGCCCTTTTGTTGAGTGGATGGCTCTGCTGCGGGTTACAGATTACACAGTTTGCCAGATAAGTCACCTGCAGTGAGGTATTATGCTACTGGGACTACTTTTAACCTGCAACCGATGATACTTCTCTGTAACCCACAAAATTATCACTCAAATGTCTTTAAATGGCAAAATGTCTTTAAAATGACAACCATGCACCCAAACTGAAGGCCATTTTCTAGACACTTATTACTATATCTATTTTTACAAATAATTGTCAGGATTTTTTCATTAAATTTTTTTTTATTTTATATTGAACTCACTATATCTATTTTTGTCCTCTCCCTTGAGACTCCATTTGGTGCTCCTTCCTTATTCCATTTTCTTCTATATTTTCCATGGTTCAAGTACTTTATCTTATTCTTCTGCCTTTGGGTGTTCTAGTGATATTTCCTGTATTTTGTAATCAGGAGGAAATGGGCTTAACTAAGAAAATACATACAAAACTTTATTTTCCCATAATCTCTTCAAAACATGATCTTAAGGAAAACGTTGTGTTATGAAGAATGAAAAGAAATACAAATTAATCAAGGTCAAAGGGGTTTAAAATATTATCCACAGATTATTTTACTTGATAAAGCAATTGTCTCTTGATGACATTTAACTAGAACTAAATCTGCTAGAAGAAAAACTGCATCTCATAGCCTATTTCTTCATGTTTCTGATACATGCATGATTAATTCTGCTTTTGTTATTAAAACTGAATCTTTGAAACACTGCTTTTTCTATGATTTACTCAAGCTAGTACATATAGTAAGGCAAACACATTTTAAAGACCACTTTCAGCAAACTATTTCAGAAGAGAAATATTCCAAACACATTAAAAATCATTCTTATTCAGTAGTGATTGGAATTATTGGATTCATTTATTTGGGAAATGGCTTTTATCCAATTTTTCCAGTTTGACTTACCTAAAAACAAAGCTTCATATCATAAATTTAAAGAATGTGCTTGAAAAGTAAAAACGTGTTCACTAAGTGATATGAAAAACTTCTAACTCAAATAAGTTCTTCCCACACTTTGAGAAATAACGTTACTCTCACAGAAATAAGTCTAAAATGAATCTTTTTCCAAATACACCAGATACCCCTGATGCAATTTTCTGGATCACTCACAGAATCTTCCTACCTCTATCATAACAGACTCTAACAGGATGGATGTAATCCATATTATGAACTGAACTAGAAGGCAAAATACGTCTCATATAAGAATTAACAGCACTTAATGATAAGAATTAGCACTCTTATCAATTAAAATTTGAATCAAGATAAGAAAAAGTATCTTAATGATTCAAAGTAATTTTTAAAACGCCCTAAGTGCCAAGGTAAAACAACAACAAAAGAAGGCAGTAACATAGGACCCAAGTATGGTATAACAACTATTCTAAAGTGGATATTGTTCTAAGTTTTAGGATAGACTGGAGAGAATAGTCTGTTGACTCCTTCCAGCTCTCATCCAACATCTGTTCATAGCAGCTACAGCAAGGTTATCTGTAGCCATGCAGTTTTCAGGTTGAGAATAAACATGTCCTTGCTGTTTTGAAAACAATTACCCAGGTACAACTAGAACAAGATAATTTTTGGTTAGACAACACTGGAAAGGTTATCTAGTTTACCCTCCCTATGTTCATAAACAAGGAAACTGAGGCTCAGAGAGATTAAGTTCCTAGCCCTAGCAACTCACACAGCTAGTTAATGGCCAAGCAAGGTCTAGAACCAAGTTTTCCAAATTATTTCTATTAATATGGGTTAACTCTGAGGGTCAGAGCCACTGATTCTCCTTCTGGTATGGAATTGACCTTTGGAAATTTACCGGCTGTGTGATCTTGAGCAAATTGCAACCTTTCTAAGCCCTTTTGCCTCCTCTGTATAGTGTAAAGAATACGTACTCTAACAAGATTGTTGCGAGGATTATGTACAGCTTGTAAAGTGCTTAGCACGTCGATTAGCAAATAATAAGCATTCGAAAATACGTAGTTATTATTTTTACTCCCGACCTGGAAACATGGCTGCTCCTACTGTTTAAGAAGACAATGAACTGAATTCAACACAGTGGACAGGGTCTCAACCACCGGGGTTCCCCAGCCTCCCACGTTCCGTAGACAGGAGAAAACCCCACCCAACAAATTATTTCACCCCATCTAAAATCCACCCTTTACACTGTTAAGAAAAACAAAATACCAACTGCTGCCAAATGTTTTCTGCCACGTGTTGTACGTGTAATTTGTCAACTATAAATTGCAGGGGGAGTTCTGGCACCACCCAAAACATGAAGAATAAATGATGGGAAAACAAGGGGAAGATAAGATCACACACCTGAACTGGACTCACAGACGCTTGTTCTCAGCTCATTTAGCTGTTGGTAGATAGGTGGGTGGTATAAAGCAAAATGATTTCTTTCAGCACCATAAAGCAGGAATAATGGCCACCACAACAAATTACAACCCCCTAGGCTTCTCAGCAAAACATAAAAGAATCCATTTCATCGCCTTAGTAAATTAAAACGTACACGGGCAACAACTGAGTAACAAAATGTATCCGAGCTGCACTGCACCTTAGGATTACATAAATATATGAAAAATTCCTATAAAATGGCGAGACAAAATGATGGGGAATATCACCTTGAAACTAACAAGGAGGAAATTATGTCATGCCAAAGGTGTCTCCATTGACAAAATCCCCACCCTCCGTTCTCATGACACTGCAAACCCACCTCCCTCTAAGGAAATTACAGGAATCACCCGCAGCAACCAACCTCAGCAATCGACATCGAGCAGATCGACCCCTACTCAAATGGCGCTAAGCACCGCGGGTCCAAGCCCCTCCCTGCAGCTGCCAAGTCCCGCGCTGGCTCCAGACTACTTCGCTTCCTTTCCGTCCTCCCTCTCACGCTCGACCCCCAACATTTCTCGCCGACCCTCGCCACTGACAGAGAAGGTAGGAACGGGAAAGACTTCCTACACTGTGTCCAGGGAGTACCAGAGCCACACATACCCGTCCCTATTACGACCACATCAAACTCCGAAGGTAGATTATCCGCCATCTTGACAGGAAACGTGTCATGTGACTATTGCTTGTGGAAATGAGATCAAGTTAAGCATTGCTGTGG